TATAGTATTTAGGGATCTATATTGGGGTCTGCTGTTGTAGGAAACTACCATATCTCCTACATCATCCTTAAGTTGGCTACCTTAAGCCCTACACCCCAACCCTAAAACCTAAATCGTAGACCTTAAAACCCTAAATAAACCCTAAACCCTGAATCCTTCTTTCCGAAGTTCGTGTCCAACAACTCTGAGACCAAGATGCCTGAAGGGTTTTCTTATCTTAAGAAGCTGTCGACGCTTAATCTGGGTTTAGGGCTTAGGTCTGGTTTGTAGGGTCTTAGACCCTGAATTAGGAATCCCGACCGCTAAAGCAGGATACCTGCCTTTTAACATCTTAACAACGTCTTGTTCCTGTGCTACCAGCGAATTAGCCTCTCATATTTATGTGTTTAATCCAAGCCCTAGTCTATCTTAAAATAACACCTAAACCCTAAACCCTAAAAATCCTAAACCCTAGAAATCCTAAACCCTAAACCCTAACCAACTGTAATCCTTACACCTGATATCCTCCCTAACCCTAAACCCTAAAAATCCTAAATCCTCAACCCTTCCCAACCGTAATCCTTACACCTGATATCCTCACATCCCAGGCAAGCCACCTCCATGGGCCCTGGGCTTCTCGCAGAGCCCTGGACGGATCGCGCGCGCGCGGAAGCTCTTCCGTTTCATGTGGGGCTTAGGGATGGAGGGTTTAAGGGTTTAAGGGTTTGGGGTTCTGGGTTTCGGGCTTAGGGTTTTTTTGGGGACTACCGTACCCGGACCTGAAAAGTAGGTAAAAGAAAAGCCTTTTAAACCCATGAAGAGTTTGGGGTTTAGTGTTTGGGCAAAGAGCTACGGGAGGTTCCGGGTTTCCGGTCAGGCTAGGGGTCTGGGATTTGGAGCTTCTGGTTTGGGGATAAAGGTCTTGGATGCCTATGGGGATAAAGGTCTTGGATGCCTATGGGAGGCATATCCTTGGGAACATATACATACTATTATCTGTATATATGCAGATTGTTGTGTTTTTATGCGCACAGTCTGCGGCCACGATATACAATATATCTGTGTATATGTATCTGTATATGTACCACTATGGGCTATCAGACCTCAAGATTCCCTATTAGGACACTATGAAGGGTAGATTAAGGTACCCTTAAGGTCGAATAGCCCATAGTGGTAAATGTATCGCTCATGCGAGGATATCCCTGGGTTAAGATGTATAGTTCACAGGTAGGGGCTCTATAAGGATGGTGGCAGCCCATGCATGGACAATATGAGCTATAATCTAAACTCCTGGTATTCCCCTTAATGAGCCCTATCATGCTCCCATATATAATCCTCTATATAACCCAAAGGGTTTATTCAGGGGATTATAAAGGGGAGCATGATAGGGCTTATTAAGGGGAATGCCAAGAGTTCAGATTAATAGCTCATATTGTTTTAGCCTAGGGTCTAGGAGGGCTCAAAGGCAAGGATGTCCACACGAGTTATCTGTTAGGTGGACCCCCCACCCTGTAATAGTGACTATAAGGTATAATAGGGATTATATTAGGGTCCTCTTATATTCTTATTATACCACTATTACAGGGCGGGGGGTTCTCCTAAGTTATCTATTTCCAAAACACAAGCCTGTTTGGTTTCAAAACCAGCTTGTCACCCTAAATTCTAAACCCAAAGCCCTAAGCCCAAAACGCTGTAGCTACCCAGGCCGTAGAATTGCCTAAGCCTGAGACACATGTCAGATGTATTTCAGAGTTTGTTTGGAGTTTGGTCTTGCGCCGCAGTGACTTGTCCTTTTAGGCTCCTGTATGATCTTTGCGTGCTGAAACACCAGAACTCCCAGGTTTATATGAGCTATAGTCTAAACTCCTTAAAGGGGGTTATATAGGGAATCTATAGGGAAGTCTCTAGGGGGGTATTAAGGGGTATACGAGGAGTTTAGACTATAGCTCATATGAGATATCTAGGATCATGCAGGATTTATGGTATCAACCCTTTGGCCTTGTTTAGACTCTATGCACGCACAACCTGGCAATGGGCACTCGTAGCATTCGCAGGCTCGGCGTGCATTTTGGTGCAACGGGAAATCCCCAGTTCCAAGCCCTAAACCCTAAACCCTAAACCCTAGCTCAAGGAACAGTATGTTGCTGTAGTTCTGATACGCTGTATGCCTTGCATAGGGGACTCTGCTTCGAAGCTGTGATTCAGGGGTTCCAGGTTGTACCCCTGATGTGGTACCCTTGGATTTCGTGGCCCTTTTAAGGGAACATTAGGGTTCATAGAAGGGCTATATCTGTGCCAGCTTGGGAAACTTGTTTCGGGGTACGACCTTTGGACTACAACCCTGGAACCCTTGAGGTGGGGCCGTCAATAGAGCCACACGGTTTAGGGTTTAGGGTTTAGGGTTTAGGGCACGTCCAGAGATTGCAGCGTGTTATGAGGTATAGTTTAGGAGGACCCCCTACCCTGTAATAGTGACTATAAGGGATAATAGGGATTATATTAGGGTCCTATTATATCCCTATTATACCACTATTACAGAGAGGGGGTCCTCCTAAGGTATAGTCATATGCCATGGCGCTGCAATGCTTAATAGGCCCTAGAATTCTCCACCATATTTTCCCTACATAACTACATAACCCCTTTGAAGGAGTTTAGACTATAACTCATATCTTGCCTTCAGTCTTGGCAAGCAAGGAATGGTGGGACAAGATCAGATAGCTGCTGATGCGGAGTATATAGGAGATCTTGCATCACCTAGCCTCCCCCATGTTTAGGGTGTAGGGTTCATATGGCCTCCCCCACGTGCTGTCATTCCACGGGATAAGGTATCTAGGGTGGTGCAAGGTTTCCCCCTTACGCAGTAGGGTATTGCATCTAGACGCATTCCACTTTGAACGCTGTGATTTCCGTAGCCTGGTCCGGCATAGATGTTGTACTGCTCTGACATCCATGACGAGAAGCGCAACTTCACGTTCCTGACCAGGTTTACCAAGGAAATGTGAAGTGCGATTTATTGTTAACTGATATTACAGGGGCCTCAGAACCACTCGTGGATGTTGCTTAAGATCCTAGAATGTTGCAATTGCAGTCATTTTTTCATAGAGACTCATCATACCTTTGTCTAGACTACAGCCCCACAGCCCCCCTTTTTTGAGAACAGTCAGGCCCCTGTACTATCGTTCATCCCCTGCCCAATGTACGGCAGGGGGCCTTCGAACTAGAAAGCTCGTCAAAGACTTGCTCAGAAAGCACATTCTCAGCAATCAGCTGGAGTGAAAAAGCCCGCGGCGTGCATCGTGTGGGGATCTTTTTGGTGAACAATTCGCTGCATAGTGGGAGACTACCATTACCTCCTTCTCATCCCATGTAGCCCTGGGGTCCCTACAGGCCCCCCATTTTGAGAAGATTCCCATGTGAATGTTTGAGGTGTGGGGGTGTACTCGATGGATAGTTGTCAACCTGCCTCTAGGTGCACCTACTCAAGCCATCCTTGTCCCAGCTCCCATAAGTTTCTCAACAAAAACTCCCATGGTGGCTTGGGTTCTCTGAAGTCAAGCTATCAAGTCCAACATAAATTAGGTGGCACTTTGGGATAATTACTAATCTCCCCTATTTTTGGCGGCCTTGAAAACTACCGCCCAATGCAGCTTTTGTACGTGCCTTTCCGATTCTGGCTCTGGAGCCACAGGCCACTACTGTAGACCCCAAATTCAGAACCCAAATCACCCCAGTCCCTAAACCCTGAACTCCAAACGTTCCATGCCCCACCCACAGCCCTTAGCCCCAAGCCCTAAACCCTAAATGAGCTACTGTCAATGTTAGACCCGCCAAGGGACCATAAAAGGTGGACCCAGGGTCCCTTGTCTAGTTAAGTATTAGGGTTTGAGGTTTAGGGCCTAAGAGGAACTCATGTCCATGGAATTATATGAGAAACAGTGGCTGTAGCTCAAATCCAAAAGCCTAAGCCTTTAGCCCCTAAACCCCTGAACCCGAACCCTGACTGCTCCGGCTGTTGGAAACTCAGAAAAGCCTAAACCCAAAGTCCCAAACCCTAAACCCTAAAGCCTAAAGCCTAAACCCTAAACCCTAAATCCTAAATCCTAAACCCTAAACCCTGCCTTTGAAGGCTTTCCATGCAGATGGAAAAAGGTGTGGCAAAAAAAACCCTAAACCCTAAAGCCCTAAAGCCTGAACCCTAAATCCTAAACCCTGAACCCCAAATCCTAAACCCTATGCCCCGACACCAGGTTGCTCTTCCTAGCCGGCCTGCTGTACTCACAGTTACCCTCACGAAGTCCTCAGGCTTTGGCTGGGTTTAGGGGGTTTCAGGGAAGGTTTGGGATTGAGGGAGTTTAGGGCTTGGCAGAGTTTATGTAATGAGGTTTGGGTTTCGGGGCTTTGAAGGGAGCATGTAGAATTTTTCTATACCTTCGGAAGCACTTTTCGGCTGGTAATGAAATAGTGAGGTTCAGGGTTTGCTTGAGGAGGGTGCTGTAACGTGTCTGAAAGGTCTTGCAGGGTTTGTCACAGAGTTGTAAATGAAGACGGGGCTGGGGATGTTTTTTGATGAGAAATCCCAGTATTTCTCATTTCTTATCGGCATCTTACTCGGGGCTCACCGGAGCTTCAAACGAGAGATATCCGCAACAGTCTCAGAAGGCTTTATGATGTTTCAGAATGTCTTGGCCGACTTTTGCATTACTGGCTTTGTGATAAAGATATATCAGGTCTTGGACAGATGAGCTGCCGCACTGGAATTTGTTCCTGCATCAGAATTTTGAGATTGTCTTAAACATGGACTTGGTAACATCATGACATGTGGCAGCCATACCATAAACAGAAACCCGTTGGTTTGTATTTGTGCTTGCTGCACGGCGGTGTTCATGGAGAGATAGCCCTCCCTAAAACAGCATGAAGCCCAAATCAAGCACCTTGAAAGGACTCTTGTTTTTGCTGGGGGCCCCTTTTTGAGGTTCCCTTTTTGGTATGTGGATAGCGTACAGCGTGGGAGTTTCTCAGAACAAAAACAGTCTACATAATCCGTAAAGGTATCCCATTTTTGCAGTGCTTACATCTGCTGTGGGCCACAAGGGGCACTCAGGACCTGTTTGGGGTTCGGGATGTACGGTTTAGGGCATACTTGTAACATCCTTATGTCCTAAGAGTATACTATGCCCTGCAACTCCTTTGATCCGATTTCAACCACTACTACATTGGCAATCATTACATTCTTGTCAGATTGTAGGGCAAGGAATATAACCCCCAATATAACCCCAATATACTAGGGTTCACGAAATGCATTTTCGGCCTTGAATGCTGTCTGCTGACATGTTGGGGGCTTCCCCCAAGTTGCACAGTGTAGCGTGAGGCGAGCGATGTTGGCCATGATTCAGCACAGCGTCTATCAGGGTTATATAGGGGTCATATAGGGATAATGGAAAAGAAAATGGAAACTACTATTTAGGATTTAGGGTCTTGCTTTTTGTTTAGTTGAGCCTAGTTGAGGCTACAGATTCAAGTTTGTTGTGCTGAATTGTCATCAAGGCGACAAGGGTGACGGCGCGGTTTGTCAATCTCATTGATGCCAGTGCTCTTGCAACATCGCTACAAAGATCTGGAGCACTGTTTTTCACATGTGTCCTTCTTTGCGCCAACCTTTCTTTCATTGACTTCATCTGAGTGCTTCTTCCATCTACAGGCGGCCGCAAAATATGGACCTAACACTCTGACTCCCAAAAAACGCACCCTTCTCCTTATACCCCCATATGCCCGTACTTGCATCACCCTTTTTGATATAACCCTTCTTTCACCCTTTCAAAATTCTAAGCCCCAAACCCCACATCCGAAGCCTTGAACCCTAAACCTCAAATCCTAAGCCCTGAACCCTAGATCCCAAACCTTGGGTACTGCCCCCACCCAGTAACAGTCTATACTAGGGGTCCTATTAAGGGCTATATATAACCGTATTCTAATTATTATCCAACTGTTACTGAGGGGGGGCAGTACTGAAATTATAGTAGTTTCCATTTTCTTTTCCATTATCCCAATAATATCCCAAACATATATACCCTTATAACCTCTATATAACCCCTATAATCCCAATAGTTTCCATTTTCTTTTCCATTATCCCTATATAACCCCAATATATTCCTACGGGCAGTTCTTGGCTCCGAAAATCAAAAGCCTTGCATCTTCATGGGGGAGGCTC